GGGGAGAGAAGAAAAAACATTGACATTTTCGCTCCTGAGTTATAGAAAACTTATTTGCATTGGTAAACAAATTGCAAATATGATTGTTTTGAATAGCTAACCAAATAGTAGACACCTCCTGCCCTACTCCTACCACTACAAGCAAAAGAACAACCTGAAACTGAGACTACAGTTTTCAGTTTGAAATTGCTTAGTTACCTTGCAAGTTAAAATTTCAGTCTAATAAGTGTAAATTAATACAATAAAATTAAGAAATTCTAGACACATTTCCCAGAACCACGTTTATAAGCATTTTAAAAATAAGGTACATCACAAAATCAGCTAAATTTATGTCAAGAACACATTACTCAAAAACCTTACTTTTTAACATTAATAGATCTCAGACATTATAATTCCAACTGTACATACTACACATAGCGTTCAAACATAACTCCATGACGGCAGGTAACATTACATGGGCATATCCATTCAGTCCACCACATAGTCCAGATCTGGGGAATTATAATAAACAAATGACTAAAATGGAAAGCCCAACTATATAATCAATAAAGCTAACAAAGCACTATTTTTGGTAGGCAATGCTTTTCAATACCTCAGCAAGGATTCTTTAGAAACCGCTGTTTCACTACATATGCTTTACCATGGATCAATCCATTTCAAGTGGTCCAGAATGTAATAATTGCTGCTCAACCATCTTGAAAATATGCAATTTTTATAAATAATTTCTTATATTTTGCTTGTTCAAAACATCTATATGGTATGATGATACAATCTTTATTGTACCTTAGTTTACAAAATAGTTTGCTATTTTGTTTTATGCTGTTTCCACTTTCGTGTTTGTAGATATTTTCTCTTTTCTAAATACTCAGCTCTGGATTGTTCTACCATTTTAAAATAGAAAAACCGGCTTGCTATTGAGTTTACACTCTTTACTACAAATCTAAAAGAGTTATTTACCTACTCTATTTTGTTTATTTGGTAATATCAAAATCTATGGAACACTAGTTGAACAAACTCGACTTGTCTGAGAGTAGATTTCTCAGACAGAAGAATAGATGGTCAGCATAATTTTTCAGCATTTTCAAGTATAGTATTTTGTGGCTGGACCAGCTTAACATGAGGAACTGTAATATGGAGATATGGTATAGCATTTGGAATCCTGACTTCAGAAGTACATATGATATTTAAAGGAGCCACAAGAACTTTACAAGCTCTTAGAATAGATCTTATGAAGAACG